TCATAAATTGTATGTAACTTGTGTAAAGCAAAGAGTCACATATGATTCAAGCTATTAAAAATTTGTAATTTTACAAAAAATTGTAATTTGAATGACATTTTACATTCAGAAAAATAGAAAAACAGAGGAAGGAAGTAGACTTAGGGTCCCACCCTTAACCAAGAAGCGTTTTGCAACTGATACCTTTTGGTAAAGAGAAAATCAGCTCTCTCTAAGGGAGTGTTGCTGGGTCTATCAGCCACCCCAGGGCAGGCTCCATGCCCAGGAGTAGCTGGCTAACATGAAAGTGACTCCATGGATTTGCATGTGTTTTTTATCTTGTTTTGTTTTATTGGTTTTTAAAAAAGATTTATTTATTTTATGTACGTGAATACACTGTTGCTTCAGACACACCAGAAAAGGGCATCGGATTGCATTACAGATGGCTGTGAGCCACCATCCCATGTGACTGGGAATTGAACTCAGGACCTCTGAAAGAGCAGTCAGTGCTCTTAACCTCTGAGCCACCTCTCTAGCCCCACTACACCCCCACCCCCCATTTTATTGGTTTTTATCTTATTGGAATTTTTTGTTTGTTCTGATTATTATTTTTGAGAGAGAGAAAATTTGAAGTGTAGTGGGTAGAGAAGTAGGAAGGATCCGGGAAGAGTTGAGGGAAGGAAAGCAATATGGTATATCAAAATATAGTGTATGAAATTTTTTCAATGAAAAATTTTTTTACAGAAGAAACTGTTTTGTTTTATACAGTGTTTAAATTATTTTACACTTTTAGTGTGTGTGTGTGTGTATGTGTGTGTGTGTGCACATGTGCGAGTGTGTGTTTTCTGCCACATTAATGACATAGTTTAAAACAAAAATCTTGTTTATCATTATCTTTGTATGGAAAAAATTCCTTGTATAAGATACCAAAAGCATAAAGAAATTAAGGTTGGAAAATTAGTTACATGTTTTCTGCCTCCAGAGAACTGAGAAATCCAGTTAAACAAGCTTATTTTCAAGCAACTCTTTCTTCAAGTGGTCAGTGAGCCAAATTTTTTTTAATTCAAGTAATCAAAATAAAATAGGAATCTGAAAATGCTGTGATATCATGAGAGAAGAAAACTGAATCTCAAAAAGTTGAACTGTGAACAGAAAATCCAAATTGCAAAAATTAGACAACAATAAGAATTGTCTTATTAGAAACAATAAAAATTTAAGTAATTGGCTATAAAATTCATTTATGAAAATTAACTATATATCTGCATTCAACACACATTCATGCTGTAAGGTACCTAAGAACAGACTATTAGTACCCTGTGTAGCAGTGTTCACCTGTAATACTACCTAGCTCAAGAGACAGAGACAAGATGGTGAAGAGTTTGGGGCCATCTTCAACTTTATAATTTGTTTAAGCCCAACCTGAGCTACGTAACATTCTACCTCAAAAACAAAATTAATGACATAGTTTAAAACAAAAATCTTGTTTATCATTATCTTTGTATGGAAAAAATTCCTTGTATAAGATACCAAAAGCATAAAGAAATTAAGGTTGGAAAATTAGTTACATGTAATATAAGAAATTCTTTGTCCTCAAAGACAACATCAAAGTGAAAAGGTGGGTCCTTAAGGAAATCTAATTCTGATAAATCTGGAAAACTTATAACTTCTTCATGAACTTGTTTCTCCAAAAATTGTTTTTATCACAAACTAGTCATGAACAAGCCTATACACTAAGTTCTGAGCAGAAACGAATGAAGTGAGCAAACACCTGTATCAAACAACAGTTTTTTCTCATTACTTTAATGGCACACATAAATCTTTTATGCCAGATGGAGGCCAGTAGTGTCAACATGATTTTAAAAATTAGTACATCAAATTCTCTGACACAGTCAATAACTCAATCTAATCATGTTTTTGTTAGTGAAACATTAAACAGTCAAGATGGTAAGAAACCCGAGTCATAATAATCTCATTAACATTAATCCGCTCTTGGGGCACCAGGCAGTGTGAGAGAACATCAAGAGCCGAGACGCCACCCTCTACCTTAGGCCTAATCTAGTTACCGTCTAGTAAATACATAGTGATAACGTGGATTTCCATCTAAATTTCAAATGATCTGCTTTTTCTCCTTCTTCTTATCTTGAAGCTGATAATCTACTCCTTGTACTTCTGGAACCTTTCCAGGGACGTCTTGCGTTCATTTCATCCAATCCCAATTTTCACTATATGGCAGCTATACTAATTTAAATGTATGCTATCTATGTATATGTGCTTGTATGTGTGAGGTGAAGAACAAACACTGGTGTTAGTTGCATCTTTCACTTTATTTTACAAGGTCTCCCTTGTTCACTGCTACACCAATTGCTCAGACTAGATAGCCTAGAATCTTTCGGAGGACATGCCCATCTCTGCTTCCCATTTTGCTGTAGGAATTTCGAAATCAAGACATGTACTATGGTGTCCAGATTTGTATATGGGTTCTGAGGACTGAAATCACAAGCCTGACAATTCTTTATCCTCTGAGCCATGAAATCTAGGAGTTCCAACATTCAGTGGGACAGGGATTGGCAAACAGTTTTGCAGGGCCAGGTAGTACAGAACTGAGACCCTGCAAGACATGTGGTCTCTGCTGAACCATTCAACTCAGCATTTGTAATGTGAAAACAGTGAATGAACAAGTGAGTGAAAGAATGAATACGCAGATGTCGGGTCAGATAAAATCTGGGAGTCACAGTGCACGTACACATCTGTACATGTTAGTATGTGTGACTGTATGTGTGGAGCCTGTTGGCTATCTTCCTCTATTGTTCTCTAGCTTACTTTTTAAAACATGGTCTCTCACAGAATGTGGAGCTCACTGGCTGTCTAACCTCTCTGAACAGCAGGTTCCTGGAATCTGCCTGCCTTCACTGAGGTCACCAAAGCATATTATTTTACCTGACATTTAACATGTGCTAAATGTCTGAACTAGCCAGCCTGTGCCCAGTGTGATTTTGTCTCAAAATACAAACAAATAGGTGCTGGAAAGGTGCCGCAGTGGTTAAGAGCACTGTTGCTCTTAACCCACTTAAAGGACCCAGGCTCAATTCCTAGCACTTACATGGCAGCTCCCCAGGGTCTGTAACTCCAGCACTCTCACACAGACATACATGCAGGTAAAACACCAATGCACATGAAAATAAAATAAATAAAAATTCACAGACCTAATGAACACTAGTTTTAAGATGGAGACAACACATAATACAACATACTTTATTAAAATTTCCGAGCATTTGTGATAAACAGAGCACAAAAGGTCCTGGGGTGGAGGCTGGGGGTGGGCGGTAGCAGGAAGTCCTATGCAAAGACTGGGAAATCAGGTGATTCTAGCTTTTGAAAGAGTTGGAAAGCATTCACCCTTAAAGCCAATTCCAAAGAGAATTCTCCACCTGGTGAAGCTACAGTGGAGCTTTAGGCACGTTACCTGACCTTTTCCTCTGGATGCTGACCAACAAAACAATACAAAAAGTTAAGACCCGAGGAAGACCAAATGTCCACCAAACAGTGCCTACGCAGGAGCACCCTGGGGAACCAGTGCAGCAGCAGAGTCCTGCTGGGTCTGGGGCTGACCGGCTTAGTGATGGAACTTCTTAAATAGCAAATGGGACAGATACACACACACACACACACACACACACACACACACACACACACACACACCAGTATTATTAACAGCAGTGTGATAAGACACATGGAACATTTTAACAAAACTCAAGAATATACAGACAGAAAGCCAGGTAATTAAAAACAAGGTTGTTATTAACTTAAAAAAAAAAAAGAAAAAAGCAAAGGCTGGATTTCACTATTTGACTTACAGAAAATAATATCCTTATAATGAAATTATTGAGATACTAAGTACTAACTGAACCAAGGACTGTATATATGCAATTACAAAAGAGAAGGAGAACAAAATGAAAAGCTATAGCTCTATCTACATGGCAGGGGTAAAATGACAGCACCTGAGCCACCAGTGACGGGGCTGTTCCGTAATCACTAGGTAACATGGGAAATGGGCCAACGGCCTCACAATGGATTCTTCCTAATAGGTCTTGAAAATAGAGAATCTTGGGGTTCTGTCTCTAACTGTGTTGTACTTTAAAAACAAATAATGAGTATATATATTTTTCAAGACTTGCACTTATTTACTTATTTAGTGTGGGTGTACCTGAGGCCACAGCACACATGTGGGGGTCAAAGGACAACTAGCTGGAGTCAGTTATCCCCTTCTTCCATGTTGGCCCTGGGCTGAAACTTGGGCTCTCAGGCTTGGTGGCAAGTGCCCTTACTGGTAAACTATCTCACTGGCCCTGAAAATACTATTTTTAAAAGCTAGTTTAAAATAATTAGAGTTTTTAAAAATAACTATCAAATATAGGTAATACATTTCAAATAGAATTCTGTATCTCTCAAATTATAGATGTTGGTGTCTTATAAACACATCAGTATAGCATACATGAAGAACACACACAGCATATGTGAAAAACTTTTACCCTTCAAAGCAATTTTTAAAAAAATGTTAAAACTACGAGTAGCATTATTTGTCAGTCAACAAATTAATACAAGAAAATGCACTGACTGTGAAAATGTAAGTTGATCTATTATTCCTGAAGAAAAATTACTCAGGAGAAAGGTGACTCGGCAGTTCCTGGTAAACAGTAACAAAACACAACAGAGGGTCAGCTAGGAAGGAGTCAGCTGAGCCCCATACCCCACAACCAAAAGTCCTAAAGCATCCAACGAGTGTGATGCCACAGGCTGACCGCATGAGATGAAGCCCAAACATGGGTGCACAAAAATTCCTGCCACTGCCTCAGGAAGCTGCAAAAGGCACATAACAGGAATGGACTTTGTTTACACTTGGGTCTCATCTCACACATTTTAAAATGAACATTTTAGATATGGGCTTATCATCCTGAATTACTTTAGCAAAATGTTCTCAAGACTGTCTCTTCCCAACGATTTACCAAACACAACAGCCTTACCTGAACAGTGCGCCCGGCATTGATGTGTTCTTCATGCAACTTGTCCCAAATTCTGCACCGTTGATACTATTTAAAAAAGAGAGACAGAAAGAAAAAGAGTGAAGAAAATGAGGAAAGTGCTGACTTTTACATCACAAGACCATGTCCAGTTCCCACAAAAGCCTTTACTCAGACTCTAACATGCCAGGGAGGAGAGACAGTGACTTTTGTAATGACAGCTAACTTTCTAAAGGCATTCATCATTACATTTCAAATATTTAGAAATAATAATAAAAGTAACAAAATATCAGACCTAATTACTTTTTTTGGCCAAAATAATGTTTTTGTCTACCTACAAATTCTCTGGGGATGGACAATATAGAGAATGACGATATAAAAGAAGCTGGAAGTTGAACAGCATTCCTTACACATCTTTATCACATATGTAGAATTTTAAGTATTTGTTAATAGTAACATTAAATGTTAAGAACTAAGGTCAGAATTTAAAAAAAAAAATCAATAAATCCCCAAAGCAGGCAGAAAGAACAAAAGCTGCTTGAGTGACAGAAGTCTCCAGTAAACAACACGAACCAGAGAAAAATGGAACATGTAGGTCTCAGGGAAGAGACACAGCTCCACAACTTCCACCCAGGGAAGTGAAGGAGGAATGTGTGCTCACATCCACAGCAGCTGCCAGCATCTGTCACTAGTGTACAGACACTATGAGAAAGGCTGACGGCACTGGCCGAACTTTGATTCTCCAAGAAGGAATGAAAAGTATGGAAAATGGTAAATACTCAGATAAACATCAACTTTTTATTTCTAAACTCTCAGGTTCAGCAGGTGGGTGCCAGAACTAACTGCTGGAATTCCATCTCCATGACTAACTCGAACTCCTATAAGTTGTCCTCTGATCTCTATATGCCAACATGATACATGGGCACACACACACACACACACACACACACACACACACACACACGAGGCAGCTGCTAAAATGTAATCCACACAGATCACATCATACTTTGTGGTGAAATACTCTCTCTGAGACTAGAAAGAAGGTAAAAATCTGGTCTTACCAGTCCCAGCTAGTGTCACACTGGAAATTCTAGTCAGCACTGTAGGGTATAACAAAGATGAAGGAAAGGAAGGAGGGAGGAAGGCAGGGAGGGAGAGAGGGAGGAAGGGAGGGAGGAAGGGAAGGGAAGGGAGGAAGGGAAGGGAAGAGGTTCTGTGTTCTATCATTAGCAAATCCAACCCCTTCTCCTCTAAAACAATGGAAAGAAAGGAAGGAACAAAGAAAGGAAAGGAAAGAGGGAAGGAAGGAGGGAGGGAAGGAGGGAGGGAGGGAGGGAGGTAGGGAGGGAGGGAGGGTAGGGTAAAGCTACCAAGAGAGAGTAAACCTACTCACTTCAAATGAGCTCAAATCAACAGGCACAAGACATCTGAGTAAACCAAGAAGCCTTGCAAATATGTCTGTGCATTTATGAAGAACTGGAGAAATTCCTAATATTTGCAAATGTTGACCTAATTTTCACAAAGAATATATATATTTTAAAAACCTGGGCTATAAATATTAATGCAAAGCTTGGGGGAAGTGTTTACTAAATTAGTAGAGAGACGGTGTGAGAGACCTTGGGGAACTGGAGACCCTGTCCCTTTTCTGTCCAGCATTCTCACGTATAACTTCAAAACAAACAACACATTAACTATCAAATTCACAGGTGATGTTAAAGAAGGAAGAGGTAGCACAGATGAGAGATCACTGCTGTACTTGGTGAGAATTACGATAATGTACACATGAGGCTCTGCCCTGGAGCCAAGAAGTGCAATTGTAACGGCACTATCTGGCTCAATAGCTCCCAGTCCCCAGCAGTTAAGGACGGAGCAGTAAGAAGTGGCATTCTGAGACGACTGATGCAGTGCTCGGCTCTGCCCTCCTTCATTTGATGCCCTTCCTAGAAGCGCACCCTCAAGTACGTATACATTAGACACATGCACTAACATAGCAACCTCCAAGGATACAGCTGATCAGCTCTAAATGTCTCTCTACCTTCAACGTAACACAGAGTACAGTGTGAGAGTGCAGGCCTGGAACCCCAGCACTGGGGAGCTAGGAAAGGGAGGTCCAGGGGTCAAGGCCAGCTGGGGCTTACATAGTGAAACCTTGTCTCAAAAAGCAAAACTTGGGGTGGTGAAATGGTTCAGCAGGTACTCGCCCCTAAGCCCAAGAACTGAGTTTAATCTCCAGGAGCCACACCATAGAAGGAAGAGAAAGGACTCCAAAGGTGATTCTCAGGTCTCCACATCCACACTGCGGCATGTGTGTCCACGTACATACACATAAATAATAAATAAACATAAAAACCAGAAGACAAAGCATCAATAATACTTGACCTATACAGCTATTGTAAGATGAAGTGTTGTAACATATGGAAACCTGTAACATAATTCTCAGCAAAGAAAAGCAGCAGCCTTTGCTACTGCTGTCATTATTCACCCACATACTAAAAAGGCTGTAGAAGTGATTACTGCCTCAATGGCATTATCTCTTAATACAGTGAATGACAAAAAAAAAAGAATAAACTAATTCATGATGCTCTTCCTACTATTCAAATTTATATGAAATTGGGATGTATTATGAAAAGCTATTATCCTAAATATTTGATGGGAGAGTAGTGGGAAGTAGGGTGACTTAATAATATACATGAAAAACACTAGAAGAAGCAACTTTTAAATTTGTAGTTAAGTTCGGGCCACTGACACACAGCTCTAAACTGGAGGCTTTTACAGGAGATGGTCTTTGTCTATCTGCACAGCAGGACAGGCAGGTAAATTAAGGCAAAACCACCACATTATGCTTTGAGTTGCAAAATACAGAAACACAAACTTTAAAATGGCTTCAACAATAAACACAGAAAGCAGACAAGAGTGTGCGGGTCATCTCAGGGGTATGGGGGTCATCCTCGGGTAGTTCAATACAGATGTTAAAAGGTTATCACATGCCTGGCTGCTGCTTTCTTCTTTACCACTTTCAATAAGGCCCTCGATTGTGTCCTAATCCAGTGGGGTTTGCTATATTTCCAGACACAACAGGAAGACACAGCCAGACCACTGGAAGAAATGGGAATGTTTTATTATATGTGTATTTTTTTTTAAAGTAGGAAAATATTCCTGTAAGTTTCCAAATTTCTACCAGGCTTTTGATCAAGGCTTACTAGCCAGAACTGTGAGATATACCTTTAGCTCCTTAATAATCAAACATGAACGAGAACTAAATTATCATTCACCATCATCTGAGTTTGGTAAAGGAGACAGACACAGGTTGGGGAGGGGGGCTAGTTATAATTACAAATTAACAAACAAGTATGAACAAATACATAAATAGCATGTCAGCCTGCTTCCTTCACTTGGAATTTCTGGGTTCAGGCACATGCCTACTGTCTAGTGTATGTCTGCTATTCCACACAGTCACATGCTGCCTCCATCATTCTTGGATTATTTCCTATCTGTGTCTTTAACTGAACTTGAAACTTCTTGAGAATTGGAAATCTATTTTTACATATTACTCAATGCAAACAATCTGAGAAACAGCAAACACCAAGCTAATATTTATTTCCTGTAATAAATAATCTTGTTTCTCATTAAACCTGGCAGATTGAATACAAATATTCATCTCTGCTCAAAATCTCAGGAAAGTATAATAAAGAATGTTAAGAAGCAAATATTCACAAGAGCAACGAGAATACAGCAGAAGACACCAACAGACAAGAACTTTTAAACAAACTGCAGAAGCTGGGAAGAATATAGACACATTGCAGTGGATTCAGCAGACCAAGGAGGAGGACAATTTTGACGCTGCAGAGGTGGCTGGTGGGGGGAATGGCACTTGTACTCCAGGAATGCTGGACATCCAGAGCTACTAGGTACAGGTGACTAGCTACAAAGTGTGGTGGGGAGAAAGCAGATTGGTGGAAGCTTCACGTATTATCACATTACATCCCCACGTGCTCAAGCAACTGCCCTGCCCTAAGACCATGGACAGTAGCCCTCTCTTCAGGGCCAACTAGAGAAGCTGGGGATCCTGGACTCCAAACCTATTAAGGGCAAGGATGAGATGGGATGCCCCAAGCAGCCTGGACCAGGGATCCCTCAGTGCTCTGTGTTGTCTTCCTGTTCACTTCCCTTCTCTTAGGCCAGATGGATAGTCATATAATGTATAGTACACTCACCCCTCTTAGCCCCTACTTCATCCCTACTGTAGCCTCACCTCTGATAAAATAACTCCAATAGGTAGACTGGAGTTAAAACATAGATGTTAAATCTATAAACAGGGCTGTGTCAAGATAGTGTGTTTAAATATGAAGTGATGACATTACAGAGCATACCCCACAAGAAGAACCAGAGCTGGGGGATTTGAACAAAGAACAAAGCTCGATGGAGGCAAATGATGGGGTGCAAGTTATTAACAGATGTAAGACAGGAGGTAAATGATGGGGTGCATGTCATTAACAGATGTAAGACAGAAAGTAAGATTATGCAGCGCCATACTTCCTCTACCTTCTTTACTGAGGAATTCACCTTCAAAATGAAAAAGCTCTAATAAGATCATTAGGAGGAAAATGAAGCTCGGGTGAAGCGCATGCCTGCAGGTAATGGACAGCTTCCATCACCATGAGCGATGAGACGAGGCAAATCCAAGGCAAACAAACTCCACCTTATCTGATAAGCCATTCAGGGGGTTTCTGCCACTTGCACCTTAGCCATAAACTAACTCATACTAACCTTGTGTACGTCCCACACAGTACGCTTCTCTTTAGATCCTAACAATACGAAACAAAGACAACTGTGTCCCAACTTGGCTATCCTGCAGTTCCTATTTACTGTGCTACACCTATGACACACTAAGGCTTCAAACGTCAGCATCACATGCTAGTAACACTTATCATGTGTCCAGGGTCGCCCTGCCGGGCCTATGCACATGGCCCAGGTGTCCCGGGCACACTGCTCTCTTTGTTTTCATTGTTGCAGACTCACTCTGCTAAAGGCTTACCTTCAATTTCCCTCCAGTCTGGCTTTCTTCTTTTAAATTCATACTGGATGACTGATGGCCAGAATAATAAATATTTTATCTTTCTGCACCTTTTCTTCAAGAAGAATATGCCTTTTTGAAAGTAAGGCATGTAAGACACCTGGAGCCTGAATTTAGTTCTTAACTCTTCTAAAGAGTGAGTGCTGCAGTTTTAAATGTGTTTCATACCACAGCCTAGCCACCAAAATGCATCGTTCAAGTCTGTGCACAGAAAGAGGAGCTTTCATAAGCAAACTAGAAACCCTGCAGACATGAAATGTTCAAGGATATTTAAAGAAAAGAGCATAAATCAGTATGAGCTTACTTTCTTGGCTTTAGATATTGTCATCTATCTGTCCATTATAATTATCTGATAATGTCTAAAGGTTTCATAATAAGCAAAACTGCTAAAAGAAACATCTTCAGTCAGAGCAGGATTGATGGCACTAAACTCCAGGTAATTCTCTTACTACACCTGGTACAGCTAATCCAATCACCAAGGCACCCAACCCTATTACTCTGCTATAGGAGCACAGACCCCTTAGCTAGGATTGAAGAGCAATGATGGCAGGCATTTCCATTAAAAATAGGAAAGATATGTTAAATGTCAAACTTAAAGTAGGACAATAGAGGGGGAAATGGCTTTAATAGCCCATAGACTTCTTGTTTCTACCTTTCAGATTCAGTTCATCTACCTAATTCTTATCCTTTGTAATGGAGAAAATAGAAGTAGAGTGTTTACTTTGGATTACTCAACTCAGGTAAAAGGTTTGATAAGCTGCGATCTCTATCCCATTAAGCTAAGCAGGAGAGCTTTCTTTTTCTTCCAGTCCAAGAATAAGCAGTTTACCAGACAATTCCTGCTGCATCCTGACAAGCTATAGCCATCACTTATGTTCCATATGTAAAAAAGAGAAGAATTAAGGGATGAAAAAATATTAATCCTTAATTCTAGAAAAGACCCTCAGAGAAATTTTCATTGTAAACATCTTAGAAATTAATTTTTGTGTTTTTAAAAAGCACTTAAATACTAGAAAAATCAGTAGAAGAAAAACTTTGGTATTTTTAGTGAATACAGCTTATATTGAAAGGCTTAATAATCACATCAACCTCCCTAATCCTATAATAAAAATAAAAATAAAGAAGCAAAGGTACACATAGGTCAGTGCTGGAAGCAGAAGACAACCCACATTTCCAAGTCAAAGCTCAGTTCTCAGTAAACCTGAGGCTGAGGTAAACATCACAAGCCCACAGCACTCCCTGGCCAGGGCAGGGCCTCTGAGCAGCTCATCTACCTTGGCAGTGCTTCTCAGTTTGGGGCCTTTGTCAAAGAGAAGCAGTGAAGAAAGGAAATTCCCTCACATCACACAATTGTTTACGTCTTTTACATGTGCACCTGAAGAGGATAGAAGTTCTTGATAGGCACAAGTTCAAAACACTTGCCATGGGGTGAACGAGATTAAGGCAGGTCCATTAGCTACAGCACCCCACCTTCACACTACGGGGCACCATCAAACGGTTTGAATTTAATTACTATCTAGACCTCCACATGTAAATTAAAAAGGAACAAACTCTACTCTCATCTCCCCTCCTCAACACAACAGAAGGAATATATGAGAACTGCACTTGTAGAACTTGAAGACTAGTTGAAAAGTAATGCCGCTGTATCAGCAGGGTGGAGGTGTCTCAGAAAAGCCTCAGACTTTCTCTTCAGCTGAAATGCAGACAGCAAGTAAGAATCTACACAAGTACCTGCTTCTGTAGTACAAATGGAACGCTCACCTTCTCGATGTTTATCTGGTGTTTTCTTAACCTCTCCAGGTCTGTTGGGATCACTATCTTAGTGAATTTCTGTATAGCTGGCTCAAGCCTGCGTAACTTCACTTTTTCTTCATCTTCAGCCATCCTGAAGCTGGTTGAGGCACTTCCTCTTGCAGCAGCTCTCTTCTCTCATACACAAACACCTAAAAGGGAACATTGAAGAATGCTTTTACAACAGAGTCCATTCTTTTTAAAAGTAAACAAATACAGGGCTGGAGAGAGAGAGTGATAGTTATGAGCACTGGCTGTTCTTCCAGGGGACCCAGGTTTGGTTCCCAGCACCCACATGATGATTTGCAGCCATTAGTAACTCCAGTTCCAGGGGATCTGGCACCATTTTCTGGCCCTTTCTGGCACTACACATACAGTGCACAGACATACATACAGGCAGACACTCATACACATAAAATAACATTTTAAAAACATAAAAGGCAACAAATATGTAATTATACTTTAAATATATATAAACCTACAATTGAACTTGAATAGCTTTGTTTCTCTATGAATTAACAGATATTAAAATATTCTCTTCACGAAAATAGTATCTAGTCATTCTTGAATACTTTTCAAATAGTGTTCATTTTTATAGCACAGACAGGATGGGAACTATGTAACTCTAGGCTGGCCTGGAAACTCCAATGCTCCTGCCTCTACCTCCCAAGCTTACTCTAGAATGTTCAGAAAATATGTATAAATGGGGGCCCACAAGATGACTCCGTGGGCAAAAGAGCTTACCACCAGGGCTGAAGACATGAGTTCAATATCTGAGACCCACATGGTAGAAGGAAACAACTCATTCTCACAGGCGCGCGCACACACACACACACACACACACACACACACACACGCACTCATGCACATAAACACGCACAGAGAGGGGGAGAGAGAGAGAATAAATGTACAATTAAAAGTTTATGAACACTCACAGAAAGGGAGAGAGAGGGAATAAATATACAATTAAAAGTTTAAAGAAAATAAAAAAATTGAACAGAATAAAATAAAACTATCAATGATCTCCTCAACCTGCAGTGTCTACTCTACATTTTGTGGCTGTTTCCTGAGGTCTCCTATAATGTGCAGTATGTGTATAAACACCATTAAAAATGAGGATGACTTCCTGATATGTTTGGGCACAGAATAGCCATCTTTTTAAAAACTGACAAATAGCAAACCTGCCAGGGAAAAATCCCCTCTTAACATTTCTGCTTGTATCAAACCCCACTTCCAATGTCATCGTAATGTAATTGTGCAATTATATACTTCAAGTAGATTTCACAATACAGAACTCCTCTCATGGAAGGCCCTTATCTCTTCTTCTTAAACAAGGTGATTAGTAGTGTCTACCAAATAACCAGCAATAGAACTCTAATAAGAACCTTATTTACAAGGCCAGGAGACCACTCAGTGGGTAAAGGCGCTTGCTGCCAAGACATAGCCTGAGTCTGAGTCTCAGGTCCTACATGGGAGAGAACTGATTCCCACAAGTCTTCCTCTGACCTCCACATGCACACCATAGCACATGCATGACACATACAAATACATAAATATACTTAAAAATTAAAGAACCAGATGTTAGTATAAGTCTGAACCCGGTGACGTCATATTCAGGGGCCTGCGACTCCTACGTTGCTGGGACAACCACTCCCAGAATTCACCTACCTGACTCACCTACACCTGGTAAATTACACACGTCATCACCCACTTAAATAGTTGGGACCACCCCCAACCTCTCTCTCTCTTCGTCTTCTCTTCACTCGCCATCTTCCCGTTCCTCTCTCCCACTCCCTTCCCCAAATAAACCCCTTCCCTTGGAACCGGATCGGATCGGCTTTGGTGTTGTCTGTCCAAACTGCGCTCGAATCCTAACACCAGATTCTCTTCAGACATATAAGTATAAAGATGTTACTAGGATTCTATAGCCAGACTGAAAGTCCCAACATATGCTTTTGGAGACAGGACAGGACAGAAGAGATGGGAGCTGGAGGTGAGCATGCTCTAAAACCCCACAGAGGCTTTAACTAGAGACATTTACTTACATCAATGTTATAAGTTTGTGCTTGTAACATCTGATATAAGTATGTGCTTCCCTGCTTAACCAAGCTTGAACACCATCAAATTATATCATACCTTAATGTCACCCCTTAGCCCATAGTCAAAAAACAATAATAAATTGAATATGTAATTCCGTTGGATTATGGCCTCTTACCCAGGCCTTGTAAAGATACACCTTCACGCATTGATTCTGTGAGACCCTGACTCTTTAGGATTCACTGTTTTCAAACTCTCAAAGAGACCGAATGTCCCCAAACATTAAGAGCTGCTTTAAATAATGTTCTGTTTTTCTCCTTTCTTTCGTAGTTGAAAATCTTGAAACAGTGGCTATAAAAACTGCTTCCATTACCCATTGGCTAAGAACTTAATTCTTATGCCTAATACAAGCTCTCAGGGAAAATCTCCAGGCACCAAGAGCAGAGTTAAAACTGAACCACAGAGCAGACATAAACTAGAGACACATGGATAGAAGTACAGCATCAAAAGAAACAGGCTCGGACTGCAGCAGAAAGTAACAATGGGCGGGCCCAGAGATGAGAAAGTGATCCAAAAAAAGTCTATTCTTATTTTTTTACTTTTCGTGACAGGGTTTCTCTGTGTAGCCCTGGCTGTCCTGGAACTCACTCTGTAGACCAGGCTGGCCTGGAACTCAGAAATCTGCCTGCCTCTGCCTCCCAAGGAGGATTAAAGGTGTGTGCCACCACCGCCTTAAATTCTTAAATTTACAAAGACATAAATAAAGGAATAAACTTTTCAAAAGGACAAAAAGAATGAGCTCAAAATGCTACAAAAGAGTTAACAGGTACATAAGGGAAATTAAACTTTCTAAATGGGAAACCTCAAAAGATAAAGTAAATAAGAAATCATACCTAGCTGGAGAGAGGACTCGGAATTCGGACGATGACAAGATGAAGACTGTAAAGGAGAAGATAAAGGACATAAATTCACAAGCTCAGTAACAAATGTAAAAAAATACAGAAAACAACCAAAAGAAAGGGTTTAAAGAAAATACGCTGAAAATTAAAGGCAGAAACTCTTCTGCATAAATCCTGCTAGCATAAATAAAAACAAACTTACCTAAGCAAATGATTGGAAAATCAGAGCATCAAGGACAAAGAAAAAGATCTTAAAGAGCAAACCAGAGATAACAGATAAATTAAAACAACAAAAGCAGCCAACTTTTCATCAAAGCAATATATCAAAGATATGAATGTCTTCAAAGTACTTGGGAGCTGGTGCATACCTAGGCGAGTTATCATCTGTGGTGAAGTCAAAATAATTATTTTCAGACATGCAAGGCTCAGTTTAACAAACTCATTAAAAAGAACTACTAAAAGGAGGGAGGAAGAAGAGAACGGGAGGGCAGAAGAGGGAGAGAGAGCAAGCTAGAGGGGATAGAGAGACAGAGAGACAGAGGGAAACGGAGTGCAAGTGTGTGTGTGTGTGTGTGTGTGTGTGTGTGTGTGTGAGAGAGAGAGAGAGAGAGAGAGAGAGAGAGAGAGACAGAGACAGAGACACAGACACAGAGGGAAAGGGAGTGAGTAGTGAGTGAGTAGTGAGTGAGTAGTGAGTGAGTCAAAGAAAGACAGAGACAGGAAAATGGCGTGTGTGTTAGAGAGAAAAAGAGACAGAGAGAGACAAGAAACAGAGGAAAATGGAGAGTGTATGTGTGTGAGAGAGACAGAAAGGGAGAGACAGAGACACACAGGCAAAGGGAGTGTGTGTGTGAGTGAGTGAGTGAGAGACAGAGAGAGACAGGGAAATGGAGTGTATGAGAGAGAAAGAGACAGAGAGACAGAGAGAGACAAGAGATAGGGGAATGGAGAGTGTATGTGTGTGGTATGTGTGTGTATGTGTGTGTGTGAGAGAGAGAGAGAGAAAGAGAAAGAGAGAGAGAGAGAGAGAAAGGGAGAGAGGGAGAGAGGGAGAGAGGGAGAAAGGGAGAGAGGGAGAGAATGAACACGCACATTTCTTTTTGGTACTCCCAAGGATCCCTAGAGTCTGTTAAGGTATATCTGGTAGATAATGTGGTCACTAAACATCTACTGAATTCACCTTTCTCCCCTTCAAAACACAAAGCATTGCAAAGTATTATGAAAAACACATTATAACAAATAAAGAAAATTAAGAAAATAAAAGGATGGAATGCAAATAATAACCTATTGCTGGATTGAATGACAGACTGACTGGTTTTATTTTGAACAACATGATCAAGTATATAGAAAATGTCAGCATGTAAATATTTTTATTACATAGTAGTATAGTATCACACTGTGTGTGTTCCGTAATCTAATCATCCATTGTTAGCTCTTCAAGATGATCCTAATTTTCTACTATTACAAACTACATTCTGATTACTTTCCTCAGATATAAATCTATACTACCTCCATGACTACTCAGACAACTAAAAGTAGAAATATAAAGCAGATAAACTTTAAGTTTTAAAAATATACTCATTGCCAAATAAGCCATTACATGTTCTTCCTACTTACAGTCTACCAGAAGCACTTCTCCATATTCTAAGCAATGATTGGTTTGATTAGTGAGGGGAAAAATGGTATCCTAGGAGACTTTTCTAGTTCACGGTCCCTTTCTAGCTAGAATTAATTTTTTTTCTATCATTTCCTATTGTTTACAGAATTATAATATGTAATTATATATCTGACAGCATAATATTCAAATTATTGCAGACATAGTGTCACCATAACAAAATATCATCTACCACGCCATCAAATGATAAAGTAGCTCACATCTGTTATCTGTTACAGGAGGATCCCAGTTCAGTGTCAAAATGTGGTATACAAGTGTGTTGGAATACTGACTGAAAGTACAGTCCATCATTTTTTATTTTTAAGTCATAAAATTGGACCATGTTACATGATTAAAACACTAGGTTTAAAGAGATAAAAAGCATACACCTGTAAAAATGTTCAAAAATAATACAAAATTCCTTAGTTCTCAAACTTCTGTGAAGTTATTACATTACTTTAATGAAATAAAAATACCAAGATATAGGAGAAATAAGACTGTATTACCATGGAGAAGAAAGCAAGTAAAGAACAGGACATGGTAGTTTTGCTGATCATTGAAAGGCTACAGGTGAGGACAGTTATGCTGTGTGTTTCTCCAGGTAGTATATTTCAGATATCCTGGAATGACTTTCTGCATATACCAGGACTGGACAGATAGGGAAACATTTCCCAGAAAATGAGTCAGTTCTCACTGTTAGAGAACAAGCAGGAGCCTATACCAGGATGATCCTAGGAGTATAAACAGAGAGATACCAGTCTGCACTTTGATTTCTTAACCACATACAAACAGATTCAGAAATAAGTGTTGATCTTGCATAGATGGATGTAGATATGCATGTACTGCTGTCTTCTGTGAGGCTCTGAATGTAATGGCACCCTAGTAGCAGTAAGCACCCCTAGACCACAGGTGTGTTAATACCATTCTGAAAGATGGAGGGAGGGCAGCAAGCCGCAGGTGAGGGAAGACCAGGAGTCCTCAGAGATGCACTTGATTCCACAACTGTGCAGATGTCACAGAAGTACAGAAAATAATGACATCACAAAACCTCCTAATGGCCAAAGTGAGAACAATTTGATATATGAAGTACATACTAATAGCAAAATAATCATATGAGGTTTTGTTTTTTTTCCTAAGACAGGCTTTCTCTGTGTAGCCCTGGCTGTCCTGGAACTCTCTCTGTAGACCAGGCTGGCCCTAAACTCACCTGCCTCTGCCTCCCAAGTGCTGGGATTAAAGGTGTGCACCACCACTGCCCAGCAATCACAGGAGTTTGTTGACACAAAGAATTGAATACAGATAAAGAAATAAGAGAGATGGAAAGCTCCTCCTTAGAGAATTCAATAAAAGGAAGGAGGGAAATTGAGGGCTGTCACAGTATCAAAGTAACAGTACTTGGAGAATAACTGGAGTACTAATTGCTATGGAGAATCCCCCAGTTACCAAATTTAACTAAGTAATTGTGATCATGTCAACACACAAGCAGTAGGTCCCATCTGGAGGGTCCATGGAGGCATAAACTGAAAAGGGTACTTATACCTTGTGGTATTCTTAACAGAAATGCAACACAATCTAATCACAACTAACTACAGACAAACTCCTACTTGAAAGGCACTACCAACATTCCTGACTCTTCAAAAGCATAAAAGTTACGATACTGTTATGGATTGGAAAAGGTAATGGCTGTTTATTAGACCCCATTGTAAAATAAAGGACTCTAATAAAAAGAATGGATCACAAGAGACCCAGTTAACCTCTTGCTCTCTGTGACTGTGTGCTATGTATGGTATGTAAAATACTAACACAGGGGCGCCGTAGTGTTCTGTATTACTTGTACTCGTTTTCTTTCTTTTTTGTTTTTGTCAAGACAGGGTTTCTTGCCGGGCGTTGGTGGCGCACACCTTTAATCACAGCACTTGGGAGGCAGAGGCAGACGGATTTCTGAGTTCGAGGCTAGCCTGATCTACAGAGTGAGTTCCAGGACAGCCCGGGCTATACAGAGAAACCCTGTCTCGAAAACAAAAAAAAAAAAAAAAAAAAAAAAAAAAAAAGACAGGGTTTTTCCATGTAGTCCTGGCTGTCCTGGAATGCAGACTGTAGACTAGGCTAGCCTTGAACTCAAGAGATCCCCCTGCCTCTGCCTCCTAAATGCAGGGATTAAAGGCGTGGGAACCAAGGCCTTCAGCAACTTCTGAGACTTTTCAATAATTGTAAATTACTCTCAAGTTTTGTTTGGTGTTTGTGCATGTATAAGAACTGCTGTTTCATGGATGAAAGAACGTTTAGAAGTCAGGACTGCAGTCATTTTCCAAGCACACACATTTGCAGTGAGGTGTCAAGTGCTTTACAAACTTGATCTCTTGGTACTTGCAACTAAGATGATCATGGGTACTATGATACTAAGGTTCCACAAGAAAAAGTACCCAAAGGTGAAGTAAAGTACTCTAGAGTTTTTTAAAAACGAAAGAGCTCCTTTCCTAGAAAAATGTCCCAAACTGCTGACAACCCTATCCCTCAAAGAAATGGATCCCCTTGGGCATGTGGGTGGCACTCGGAGTATAAGTGCTGGCTCGGCACTCGCAGCTGCGGCCTCTCCGCGTCCTGCCTGGGCACCGGCGTCGCGTCGTCCCTCACGGAGTCACCAGGGCGCACCTGGGCTACACCGACGACCCCAGCGACGCGGCTGGCCGGGCACCCCGGCGACCCAGGACCCGGAGCACCTCTTCACAGCGATCCCGGAGGGCATTACGCCGCGGGGCCTCGGCCTCCCCGCTCCCGCTGGGACAACTACTCCAAAACTGAAACCAGGGAGGCTTGGCCACTTCTGGTCGCGGCCCCGGCGCTCACACTGACCAGAAGTCGGGCTTGGTGACCGGCGCCTCTCCCGTGCGTCCACAGCCCGGCCCGCGGTGCCACATGGTAGCCCAGCGCCCCCGAGGCGGTAGCCCGTCAGCCCCTTACCTCCCGCCTAAGCGCTCGAGGCCGTCGGTAAACACTGCGCAGGCGCGAGCGGGGCGTGGCATCTCCAAGGGGCGGGGGTAGATGGCCCCGCCCCCTACCGTGCCTGTGGGCGTGGAGGTGATGTATTTGCCAGCCCCTGGAGGAAGTTCCAAAAGTGTTTTATGGGTCGTCTTGTGTACTGTATCCAAGACAATTTACATTTGGATAACCTTCTACATGTAACAGTTTTCCTGTACATTTTGTGTTTCTTAAATTTGTTGGCGAGGACGGCCTAGTGCCCATAACTCTTTAGGTGTGTGAAAACTGAAGTTCAGAACGGTGTGCCGCCCTCTCTTGTCCCTCCCCGCCCCGCCCCGCCCCGCCCCGCCCTGCCTCCCAAAGCCTCTGAATGACAGGCTTGGGGTTGGGGGTGAAATGTGAATGGCACAGGCACAAATGGAAACAGGGATGAACTTTTTTGTCCAGAGTCTGCTGGAGTGCTTTGGGCGTCTGTCCTTATTAAAATAATAGCTGGTTGCCGGGCAGTGGTGGCGCACGCCTTTAATCCCAGCACTTGGGAAGCAGAGGCAGGCAGATTTCTGAGTTCAAGGCCAGCCTGGTCTACAGAGTGAGTTCCAGGACAGCCAGGACTACACAGAGAAACCCTGTCTCAAAAAACAAACAAACAAACAAACAAAACAAACAAACAAAAAGATAGCTGGTCACTTTGAGGCTCAGCACAGATGTGAAATGACTCATTCCAGTTCAGCCCGTTTGTGACAGAGCTGTGCTCACAGCTGGTTTTCCTAATTTCCTTCTCAAGTCATTCCAGTTGGACCAGCTGCTGCAAGAACAAGCTTTGAAGTGTGTGCAGGTCATCGGTTCTCCTCTCTGAATGTTCTGACCTCAAGACCTAGCCAACTAAAATATATATATGACTATTCGGTCTTTCCTTAGAATGGATCTTATGATAGTGTAATTTTCAACAGTCTTAAGAACATTCCTGTTAGCTCTAAGGAAACTCAGTTTTAAGATCTGCAGATAGAATGGAAGTACAGGGAGAATTTTGGCCCTCAGATTAGGGGCTTAAAAAATTCTTGAAAGACAATTTTTAAAATAAAGCTCACTATTAATTAAGCTGTTTGGATTTTCTTTGGGGTATATTGGATGCTAGTGTTTATGGTACCCTTAGTTCATAGAATGAGGTATATCTATCAAATTTCATCCCAAGAAGAAAAATAAATGTATTAGGTAATACCATAGGAAACGTTTTTTTTTTTTTTTTTAATGCCAGCAAGTCAGTTAAATGAGAAACAGGGAATGTCTTAATTGGTAAAGTGCCTGCTGCACAAGATTGAAGACCTGAGTTTGGACACCCAGCACTCACATAAAAGTCAAGCTCTGTGGCATGTGTTTATAATCCTAACACCATCTAAATAGACAAAAGGATCCATGAGCTAGCTAGCTAGCCAGCTGCTCTTGTTGAATTGGTGAGCTCCAGGTTCACGAAAAGCTGATGCTATCACACACGCAGGCTTTCAAGCACGCACATGCGGGACACACGCACGCTCACACACACACACTAAGAATCAGTTAAACAATGCCTTTTGAATTAAAGATAATTGGTGTTAAATTCTGAAAAAGTACAACAGGAAGCTGTGGCACTCTAGGACTGACTTTGGCCTTCCAGGTAGTTATATGATATTTGCTGTAACTTAGGTGTGTCATGTAGAAAGATAACAATATTTAATCTAACAGTTTGGCCAGCTACCCTTATAATCTATAATATTTAATTGAATTTTTCAATATTTAGACATAAGGGGTGTGACCATTTTCTGTGCTCTTGTCCTAAGCCATAAAGTTATTAAGCTAATAAGGTCTGCTGCCCCGAGACAAAGTTTTCTTGATATCCTAACTTAACCCAGTAGATCAAAACAAAACAAAACAAAAAACCAAACCAAACCAAAACAAAAAACAGTAAGTAGTATACATCTGGGAAAGAAACCAAAAAAGAAATTATTACCTAGTAAGATGATTGCTTTTAAGTAGAGCCTGTATTGAATTCAGACAGCTTCAAGGTGGTTAAAGAGCTGGCTTTCCTAAATGATAATCACAAGGTTAAAAATGTAGCAGGCAAGTAAACACTGAGAAAAGTGTGTGCTTGTGTCTGTGAGAAAGTAGAGGACCTATCAGAGGAGCTGAGCAGCCCCAGAGAGGTTGGATGGGGGGAAAGAGGGGCTTAAAAGGAGCATCAGGTATCAACAATCTCAAAGACAAAAAACAAAACAAAACAAAACCATGATCATCTTACTAGATGCAGAAAAGGCCATTGACGATACATTTCTTCATGATAAAAGATCTGGAGAGATTAGGAATACTAGAAACATACCCCAACAAAATAAAGGGAGTTTACACAAGCCCATAGCCAGCATCAGCTTAAATGGACAGAAACTCAGAGCATTTCTATTAAAATCAGGAACAAGGCCGGATTTTCCAGTGTCTCCATGTCTATTTAATATAGTACTTCAAGTCTTAGCTAGTACACAATAAGGCAACTGAAGAAGAACAAGGGGAAACAAATTGGAATAGAAGAAATCTAAGTATCTTTATTTGCAGATCATATGGTAGTATGCATTAGTGACCCTGAAAATTCCACCAGGAAATTTCCATAACTGATAAACATTCTTAGCAAAGTAACTGAATACAAAATCAAGTCAAAAATATCAGTAGCTCTTCTATATATAAATGATAAATGGACTGAAAAATAAATCAGGTTAACAAAACCTTTCACAATGGCCTCAGATAATATAAAATATCTTGCAGTAACTCTAACCAAGCAAGTGAAATGCTTGTATAACAAAAACTTCAAGTCATTGAAGAAGATATAAGAAGATGGAAAGATCTCCCATGCTCACAGATTGGTAAGGCAAAGATACTAAAAATGACCGTTCTATCAAAAGATCAAAAGCAATCTACAGATTCAATGCAATCCCCATCAAAATTCCAACACAATCCTCACAGATCTTGAAAGGACAATTCTCAGCTTCATAGGAAACACAAAAATCCCTGGATAGCTAAAACATTCCTGGGAAATAGAAGTGTGAGAGTCTTACCATTCCAGATTTAAAGCTATACTACAGAGCTATAGTAATAAACCAGCATCATATTAGCACAAGAATAGAGACATTGATCAATAAAAATGAACTGAAGACCCAGACACAAATTGACACACCTATGAACACCTGAATTTTAATAAAGAAACCAGAAACACACACTGGAAAAAAGATATTATCTTCAACAAATGGTGCTGGTAAAACTGGACGTCTGCATGAGGAAGAATCTAAACACATCCACACACAAAGCTCAACTCCAAATAGATCGAATGCCTCACCATAAGGATAGATACGCTGGAGCTAATAGAATAGAAAATGGGGAATAGCCTTAAACTCATTGGCACAGGAAAGATGTGTTGAACGGAGTACTGTTATCACACTTTAAGATCAGCAATTGATGAATAAGACATCATGAAACTGAGACACCACTGAATGGCAGTAGCCTCCGAATGGGAAAAGATTTTTTCTTTTACCTACTACACATCAGATAAAGGGATAATACCCAAAATACATAAAGAACAGAGAGAGAGAGAGAGAGAGAGAGAGAGAGAGAGAGAGAGAGAGAGAGAGAGAGAGAGATCGAGATCGATCTCAAGGAAAAACTGAATTTTAAAATGAGGTACAGATCTAAACAGAGAACTCTTTACAGAGGAAAAATCAAATGGCTAAGAAACAAACAAACAAAAAAGTTCAATATCCTTAGCCATCAGGGAAATGCAAACCAAAATTACTTTGAAATTTCACTTTAAACCTATAAAAATGGCTAAGATCAATTTTTTTTTTAAAGTGACTTCATACTGGCAAGAGTGTGGAGTAAGGGGAATACCCATCCACTGCTGATGGAATTGGTAACTTACACAGCTACTATGGAAATCAGTGTAGCAGTTCCTTAGGAAGATGGAAATCATTGTACCTAAAGATTTAGCTTTAGCACTCTTGGACACATATCTAAAGGACACCTCATTGTACCACAGAGACACTTGCTCAACCATGTTCATTGCTGCTCTATTCATAATATCCAGGAACTGTAAACAACTTAGATATCCATCAACAGAAAAATGGATAAAGAAAATGTGGTACATTTACACAATGGAGTATTACTCAGCTATTTTATACAAAAATGACATCATAAAATTTGCAGGTAAATAGATGGAATTAGAAAAGAATCATCCTGGGTGAGGTTTCCCAGACCCAGAAAGACAAAAATGACATATATTAGCTTATGTAGACATTAACTGTTAAGCAATGTTAACCAAGTTACAATCACCAGAACCACAGAGGTTAGGTATAGAGTAAGGGACTAGGGGATACAGATGAGTCCTGTTAGGAAAGGGAAATAGAATACATAATTATGGATGGATGGGGAGGGCTTGGCTGATCAAATCAGGAGGGGAAGGAAAGATGGGGATGAGAGAGGACAGATGGAGAGAGACAGCTAAAATTAAGGACCACTTGAGAAATAGTGTGGAAACCTAATGCAGTAGAAGCTTCCTAAATCACATACATATGTGAAGATAATTTAAAAGAAATCTCCAAATAACGGGAGAGACAGAGTTCCAGCTGTATGCAAACAGGGACACAGGGGTTTCTGCTCCTGTCTCATTCAGTGCACAGCGTTTGATCGTTGTCTCACATGCAGGATATCTTACACTCTCAGATCTTCCTGTAAACCCTCTCCTTCTCAGCTTTATAGCCATTACTTTCCTTCCCAATTCCATCCAAACTGAAATGCTCATCACTTTCTCTATATCAGTCCTTTCTGCAATCTATACTTTTCTCTTGGCATACCTGCTACCAATTGCAGCTCCCCCTCTGCACGTTTAGATCATACTCGTATGACTATGTCCGTTGACTAGTGCTCCTAGAGTTCCTTTTTTTTATAATTGGATGTTTTATTTACATTTCCT